GTACACCTGCCTCTCAGCAAGCGGGGGGCTGCAGCCTTGGCGTGGAGCTCTGTCGTGCTGAGCTATTTTGGGGACAAAACCGAATTTAGCCACTCACTTTCTATCTGTTGTTCTCTCAGCTCCTTCCTGAAATACAAGAATGCATACAGACATGGGGGAAGGATCTATAGGTTTGTGGCTTAGTGTGTTTATTCAATTCAAAATATTCATTTGGTGAAATGAATCAAATAAAAGGTTCATGAAAAAAAGAACGTTGATTTACGATACATGTCAAGTCTTAAAAAGCGGTTGACAGGCGACTGAGGCAACTGTTGTCGTGATTTGGTGACACGTAAATAAAATTGAACTGAATTGAATTGACAGTTGTTTGCAGCATCGTGCAACTTATAGATTTCTAGTAGCAAGCAAGGCGATCTGTAGGAGCCTTCCATTGAAGCAAAGCCTGACATTGAAGGAGTGCAAGAGCGAGAAGCAACAAAATCACTCAGCCAGGAAGTGACAGTGCCACACATAATGTAATTTTAATAAAACAGTTTCACGACTGTGCACCATTCTCTAAAAACCTACCCTAACATTTGCACTTTCTTTCTGCAGGAAGGTCAGGAGCTGATCCAGGAGAAACCTGAGCTCCGATCAGTGGTGCAGCAGAAGCTGGAGGAGATTAGGGAGTGCTGGTCTGACCTGGAGACCACGACCAAGGCCAAGGCCCGCCAGCTCTTTGAAAATAACAAACCCGAGCCGGCGGTGAAGAGCTACTCAGACCTCGACAACCAGCTCTCCCACCTGGAGCAGCAGCCCCCCCAGCTGGAACAGGCGCACCACCTGCCAACCTTCAATGAACAGCTCCAGAAATTTCAGGCAAGTCCCAAGGCCCTCCTCGAGGTCTGAACATGTCTCTTAAACCAGCGCAACATAAAACTCAACCAAATGTTTTTAACATATCAAGAAAGCTGTAATTAATTATTATTGGTTAACACCACCTTGGATGTAGGTGCATATTTCCACTGACGTGTGGAGCCTTCTTGTATAGTTTGGCTTAAATTGCAACATTTTTCTGTTTAGTTGAAAATTTTCAATAAATAGCCCACAGCGGCCCTTGTAGCGGCCTGTTCTCAAACATGGGGTTCAGAGGCATTAAAAATGCACCTGTTATATAACCCTGAAATGTTCTGTTAGGGAAACAGCTGACGTGCTGTGTTTGTCCATCCTTCATATGGTTGTAACATGACCTTTCCTTTCTATCCGGTGAAGGCTATGGAGTCTCAGATAGGGGACTTTTACAAGGATGTGGGAGAGCTTGGAAGCTTGCAGGGGCTCTGCCTACCCCAGCGAGGGCTGATGGCAGGTGACAAGGAGGTCGGCGAGCAGTCAGGCGAAGTGGAGACCCGTATAGTCCGCCTCATCGAGCCCCTGAAGGAGCGACGCCGCATCCTGCTGGCTTCCAAAGAGATGCATCAAGTCGCCCAGGACCTGGAAGATGAGATAGTGAGTCGTCCGAGTCCCTCCTCTTCTTCTTTCATATATTTTGTCTTAAATTTAAACGCTGCTTATAAAATGTGCCAGTATGGTTGTTACAATATCATCACACATAATTGCTTTTTCATATTCAGAATTTGCAAAGTAAATATATCACGTCTTTGCCATCGCTTCCGTGTTTGGTCTACGGTTGATCGTAAACGTGCCTTCTGAAATATTTAATAACCCCACTGTGGTTGTTTGGCAGCTGTGGATTCAGGAGAGGCTTCCTTTAGCTACTTGTAAGGATTATGGAAACAACCTCCAGAGCGTACAGCAGTATATCAAAAAGAACCAGGTAAGTCAGGGATGACTTTTGGCCATGGTCAGCTGAAATGTAATCCACATTCTGATAAGACTGAGAACTTTCTCATCGGTTCTGTAGGCGCTCCAGAGGGAGCTGACAGGGCGGCGGGCTCGTATTGAGGAGGTTCTTGATCGGGCAGCAATCATTGCTTCACTGAGAACTCCTGAGGTGGAATTTGTACGTGAGGGGGCGGGACATGTACGCCAGCTGTGGGAGGTGCTGCAGCTGGAGACGGAGAGGAGGTCTGTGTTGCTGGAAGCTGCGCTACAGTCTCATCAGTACTACAGCGAAGCAGCTAAAGTGGAATCCTGGCTGTCAGGACAGAAGCTCAACCTGGCCAGCGAAGAAAAAGGCACAGTATGTACCCCTGTAATATTCACACTGCTCTTTACTGCCATAGGTTATCATCAAAGTGATCGTGGTGTTTTATTTTTCAGGATGAGGCGAGCACGCTACAACTTCTGAAGACCCACCTGGCTCTGGAGCAAACCGTGGAGACATACGCAGAGACCGTAGGCATGTTATCTCAGCAATGCCAACATCTACTAGAACTAGGACACCCAGACAGGTGTGCCATAATCCCTGCAGATTATCCTAAATTTGTTTTGCACATTCCAAGTACTAAAGTTTAATGGAAAATTGTTTTGAAATTGTAATTGTATTCCTTTGATTTGTCTTAACTTTCAACAGTGAGCAGATCACCAAGCAGCAGTCCCACATAGACCGCCTCTATGTGTCTCTGAAGGACATGGTGGAACACAGAAAGACCAAGCTGGAGCAGCAGTACTGGCTGTACCAGCTCAACAAGGAAGTAGAGGAGTTAGAGAAGTGGATCACTGAGCGTGAGGCAGTAGCCAGTTCCACTGATCTAGGCCAGGACCTCGAGGATGTCACGGTCAGTATATCTGCGAGGTTTTAGCATCTAGTCAAACAACAGGAACATATGAGGTGTTCTAGTCTCAGTCAATTCTGAGCCCAAACTGTGAACCGTGGCAAGGAAATTTCATGACTGCACAGGTGGCATCCTAATACAGTACCACACCATTCTTTCTCACATGTTTGTAGAAGCATGCTGCATGCCTGGTTGCTTAATCTTATACACCTGTGGCCATGACAGTTATTGGAACACCAGAATTCAATGATTTGGATGGGTGGGTGAATACTTATATAGTGTATACCATAAAGGAGACAACTTTGATCTCTCTTGGCTGACGACAACATGTTTGTTCCACCAACAGCCATGGCCATAGCTAGGATCATGTGCTTGAATTGGGAGGGGTAAGAAAGCAAACTCAGTGGACTTCAATCTGCAATATACTGACATCTTGTGGTGAAAACTTTACACCGTGTAACTTTTTTTTTTTGAGATTGGAAAATTAATCAGCACAACAGCACCACCCACCTGTTTTTCATGTGTTCTTTCTGTCTGTCAGCTAATCAAAGAAAAGTTGTTTTAAATGGGGTGAACTGCAGGGGGCACTGTGAACTGCAGGGGGCACCGTGACCTGCAGGGGGCACCGTGACCTGCGAGGGTTCACTGGAAGTGGTGCAAGAATATTTGGTCCAGTTTTAATCAGCTGCTCAGTCACTAAACAAATTTATTTAACAAACATCTTTTGCATTGATACAATACACCTGACTTTCCTTTAACGTGCATTGGAGACATTTTTGACGAGGAACTTTTTTGTCAGGACAGGAGAAAGCATTCTGTATTTGCAGGGTGGAAATCATCCACCGTGTTAAATTACATTACATTTATGAGAATACAGGATGATTCATGTTTGTGTGAGTCTCTGTAGCGTTGCGTTGTTTATTTGCGTTGCAGGTCCTTCAGGAGAGGTTCACCAAGTTTGCATCAGAAACCAACAGCATTGGCCAGCAGCGCATGGAGCAAGTGAACAAAATGGTGAACGAGATGATAGACTGTGGCCACTCAGACGCGGCCACTATTGCTGAGTGGAAAGACGGACTGAATGAGTCGTGGGCTGACCTGCTGGAGCTGATGGAGACCCGCAGACAAATGCTAGCAGCATCGCACCAGCTGCACAAGTTTTTCACCGACTGCAAGGAGGTATGGTCACATCCGATTATCAGACAGTGACTCAGGTGTGCCCTGTTCTTCCTCAACATTACAGGTAGACTGTCTGGGCGTGAGTTGCAGCATCTATTTTTAAAGCACTCATGATGACAGCGTTGTCCTGTGTTGTAGGTCTTGGCTCAGATCGCAGGGAAGATGAAGCAGCTGCCAGAAGTGAGGGCGTGCCAAGCCAACATTACCAATCCAGCCACCCTGCAGAGACTCATGCACTCTTTTGAGCATGCCCTTCAACTGCTAGTTGCACAGGCAAGTGATATACTCGCCAAACTTATGTTTGTCACAAAATAGATTATACGTCATAGACAAAGCAAACTTTGACTAAAAACTAAGGCTAATCTTTTATTAATTAAACAGAGTGACGCATGTCTTTATGCAGGTGAGGCAGCTGCAGGAGAATGCTGCCCAGCTGAGGACCATCTATGCTGGTGAGAAGGCTGAGGCTATTATGGTCAAGGAACAAGAAGTGATGGATGCATGGAAGGAGCTGCTGAGCTCTTGTGAGGCCAGTCGTGTCCAAGTGACTTCAGTAACTGATAAGGTCCAGTTCTTCTCAGTGGTGCGTGAAAACCTAATGTGGATGGAAGGAATCATGGGCCAGATAGGATGGGATGAGCCAAGGTAAGGTAGCATATGCTTGTTAAGGTATGGCTATCCTTTATTGCAGTTTGGAAAAGATGAATTAGAGCTTTAGAGAGTGCATTTTTGCCTGCAGGTTTCTGTGGTCTTATATGGTCATTGAAGACAAAATGTTAATATTGTCTTCTGTGCCGCTTTGACCTAATTTCATTTGACACCTGCTACACCGTTTGTTTTTGTTTTTTGTTGGGGGGGTTCTCAGGTTGACACTCTAATCACTGCCTTTATTTGTCATGTTCCCATCCAGTACCACCGTCCAACTTGCAGTGTTTTCATATTTGGCCTGAAATCTTCCAGCAGATGTCCACATATCAGCATATGCATGAACATACAGCACTATGGGAGCCACAAAGATGGCGAAACATATGCAC